TTTCCCATTCCCCTCTTTCCCTCCTTCCCTCTATTACCCACCCCCATAATACTCCTATCCTTACTATCTCTGAATCTACAGTTCCCCTCCCTATGAGTATACCTTTCAAACACTCAGTTTTTGCTATGAAGTGCAGACATTTGGTTTATATTGAGTGTAGACATACAAAGTCTGTCTTTCATAGTCTGGTTTGCTTTGCTTAGCATTAAAACTTCTATAGTCGTCCACTTTGTATCATATGTCAGACTCTTATTTTTCATGGCTGAGTAGTATTCCATATAGTACATATGCGCTATATATATATACACACAAATATATATATGTATATATGTATATATATGCTATACACACACACACACACACACACACACACACACACACACATTTCAATCCATTCATCTATTTTTGGACATTTGAGTTGATTCCATTTCTTAACAATTGTAAGTAATGCTGTAATAAACATGAATGTGCAAGTGATTTTTCTATCCTTTGGGTAAATACCTAAGCATGAAATTACTGGGTCACTGGGTCATATGGTCATTCTATTTGTAAGATTCTGAGGACTCTCCATATCATTCTCCACAGTGTTCATGCTAATTTGCATTCCCACCAATGTTGTAGGAGTGTTCCCTTTTCATCACAGCTTCACTAGTACTTACTATTCATTTTTATTTTTTTGGTAGTGGTTTTTGCTATAGGGCATGTGTGCTTGCCAGAAAGACAGCAACAGAGAGATAGAAAACAAGAAATCACCCCTCAGGGGAAAAGCCATGCCACAATCCCTTCTCCTTCATTCTCCTCTTGGGATCTTGGGCATGCACGCACATGCACCCAGTGTGAGTTTAACCCATGGGGTCCAGGACTCAAACCATAGTCGACTGCATGGGAGTCCAGCAACATAGCCATTATACTAACTGCTGGTCCCATTTTTTTTTTTTTTTTAAATTTTAGCCATTCTGACTGGAGTTAAGTAGTATCTCATTATGATGATGATTTGCATGTTCCTTATGATAAGAGATGTCAAACATGTTTTCATATGCTTTTGACTGTTGGTATGTCTTTTTTGGAGAGTTATCTGTTCAGCTAATTTTCCCATCTTGTGTTTGTGTGTGTGTTAAAGTTTTTTTTAATTATTTATATATTGTTATTATTATTCACACATTAAATCAGTATACATCATTTAGATTGTGAAGAGATGTTACCCAGCATGATATACACCTCAGCCCAGCCCAGTTGAGACCACCATACACATCCTCGTCACCAGATAATAGACCTTATCAGTGTCCCACAAGTGTCTTACCTCTCCATTTCCCCCCACATTTCCTACACTCTCCCCCTCTCACACTCTCTATCTGCTTTGTCTCTAGTGTTCATTGCAATTTTTTTTTTGAGAGATTTTCACTGTAGGGCGCGTGCGCTCGCCAGACAGACAGAGAGAGACATAGAGACAGAAAACGAGAAATCACCCCCCAGGGGAGATGGTCACGCCGCAATCCCTTCTCCTCCATTCTCCTCTCGGGATCTTGGGCACGCACGCACACACGCCTGGCGTGAGTTTTAAGCCACCGGGTCCGGGACGTGTACCGCGGTCGACTATGTGGGAGTCCAGCGACATAGCCATTACGCTAACTGCTGGTTCCCTCCATTGCAATTTTTAATACTTTATGTTTTCCAGTCTTTCAGTCTCTACCATAGAGTGTGGCCAGTTGGTATATGTTAAGTGGAGACATGCAATGTCTCTCTTTCATAGCCTGACTTGCTTCACTCAGCAACAAATCTTACATATTTGTCCACTTTCTATCAAATTCCATGCCTTGTTGTTTTTTATGGCTGAACGTATTCCATGGAATATGTGTGCCACAATTTTTTAATCCATTCATCTGTTTGTGGACATTTAGGTTGGTTTCATGTTTTAGCAATCATGAATAAGGCTGCAATGAATATAGATGTGCAAGTGCTTTTCCTTACTGGGCACTCTCCTGTACTTTGGGTAGATACCCAAGAGTGGAATTGCTGGATAATATGCTAGTTCTATTTGTGGGTGTTTGAGGGACCTCCATATCATTCTCCACAGTGGCTGGACCAATTTACATCCCCATCAAAAGTGTAGGAATGTTCCCCTTTCCCCACATCCCTTCCAGCACTTATCATTATTTGTTTTTTCAAACTTTGCTATCCTGACTGGGGTTAAATGGTATCTCATTGTGGTTTTGATCTGCATCTCCCTTGCAATGAGGGATATTGAGCTTTTTTTCATATGCTTTTTGGCTGTTCTTATGTCTTCCTTAGAGAGTTGTTTATTCTGCTCATTTTCCCATCTTTTAATTGTATTAATAATTTTCTTCTGGGTAAACTGCTTGAGTTCCCTGTGTATTCTAGTTATCAGTCTCTTATCTGAGGCACAGTTAACAAAAATTCTCTCCCATTCTGAGGGTTGTCGGTTTACTTTAATTACAGTGTCCTTTGCTGTGCAGAAACTCCTTAATCTGTTGTAATCCCACCTGTCCATTTGGGAGATTATTGCCTGTGCTTTTGGGGTCTTGCTTAACAAGTCTTTACCTACCCCAATGTCTCCCAGAGTTTCCCGTGTTTTCCACAAGAAGTTTTATAGTTTGCAGCCTTAGGTTTAGATCTTTGATCCACTTTGAGTTGATTTTTGTTAAAGGTGACGGATAAGGGTTCAGATGAATTTTTCTGCAGGTGAATACCCTGTTTTTCCAACACCATTTGCTAAAGAGGTTTCCCTTTTCTCAGTGGATTGACTAGTACCCTTTGTCAAAGTTGAGTGAACTGTACGTTTTGGGGTTTATCTCTGGAGTCTCTACTCTGATTCATTGGTCATCTTGCCTATTTTTGTGCCAATACCATTTTGTTTTGATTGAATTGATTATTGTTTTGTGGTTAAGCCTCTTGAGGTCCCTTTACATTCTCATTATCACTTTCTTAGTGATATATAGTTTGCAAATATATTTACAATATATTCTCCCACTCTGAAGGTTGTTTTCTCGCTCTATCTATTGTTTCTTTTGGCGTGCAGACCTCTTTGCTTTGCAAATTTAAGAACGGCTTTTGAACTTTTAGTAGTAATAAATTTTATTTTGTAACATTCATCATGTGATTTCACATTTGCTTTTTATTACTTATTCCACATGTTTTGTGACTAAATCAGTTATTTAACTTAATAATCAATTTCTACCACCTTATACAACACGTTCTTTTGTGTTCACCTAAAATAACGTATATCTTTTTCATAAGCACATTTGAATCTGTTTGGTTACATGGGACAAAATTTTAAGACTAAATACTGTTGATACATTTTCTTTTACTGCTTCTTTTAAAAATTTTTAAATTTTATTTTTTTGGAGAGGTTTTCACTATAGGGCGCGTGCGCTCGCCAGACAGACAGAGAGAGACAGAGAGACAGAAAGCGAGAAATCACCCCCTGAGGGGATGGTTACGCAACAATCCCTTCTCCTCCATTCTCCTCTCGGGATCTTGGGCATGCACGCACATATGCCCGGCCTGAGTTTTAAGCCACTGGGTCGGGGACATGAACCACGGTCAACTACGTGGGAGTCCAGCAACATAGCCATTACGCTAACTGCTGGTTCCCCTTTATCTGCTTCTTTAAAAATATACATTTTAATATTATGTATCTAGGTCTTTTCAATTTAACCTAAAATTAGAGACCTACATTGATATGATTAAACTATAAAAGAGTTTTTAGTCATTTTTTTATATTCTCATTTTATTGAACACAGTGGTTTTGAATCTGTCCTATTCGCTTGGTTATATATTCCCTACAATTCTCTCTTTTTAAGTGTTTGTGTAAATACACAGCACAAAGTGGTCTTATCACAATGTGACTGCAAGATCCTATGTCCCTGAGAAGCTTACCAACCGGAATTTTGCTGCTGTGTCTGCACTGCACGTGACTGAAGAACCCTCGGTGTCCTCACATTTTAGCATCAGCAAGTCCCCTTATTCCTCACTATCCCCTGACACTATATCATTATTCTCCTTCTTGTGCACTTTTCTGCAAGATGTCCACTGTCCCAGATATCCTTGCAGCACCTACCCTTTGTTCCTTGAGGTCTCTGCTGAAATATCATCTTACTCGCCAGTTAATAGTGTACACTTCCACTCTCATCTCTATGTAATTTCATTGTCTTCAGTGCCCTCATTAATATGTGATATGTCACATAATTATTGCTTTAGCAGTTCATACTATCCATAAATAATTGTTAACTATATTAATTTCTTAACAACTTAAATTTATTACCCAGACAGTACATGGAATTTTGAGGGCTTTCAGTTTATGTTACACAAATAGTATAAGAATTTGGGGAAAGGTTGAGAATAGTAAAGAAATTCTCAGTCAGACATAGCCTGGGAGAGCGGGGTGTGTGGTAAAGGAGGGGTAAATCATATACAAAATAAAGAGAATGGGTCAGCCCTGCAGCTTAGCGATTCATGAAACTGCATCTCATGTGGTTCACCGTGGTTCAAATCCTGGCCCTAGATGCTTGAAAAATTCTCTGTGAATGTGTGCACACATGCTAAAAATCATGGCAGAATGGAGAGATAGAAGAGAAGAGATTGTGGCAAGACCATGCCCCGCTGGGATGTGCTTTCTCCCCCCTATTCTATTTCTCTGTCTCTCTAATGAGTGCATGCACCCTCTGGCAATTAAAAATATAGAAAGATAATTTTTTCACTGAAAATGATAAATTATAGCATTTAAACTATGGGAGTAATTTTTTAAAAATTATCATTAAATTTTTATCTCCCAGCATTTCATATACTTTATATATTGATATAAAGTTATTAGCATTTACATTATCATTACCAGGAAAAGTGAGTACTTTTTGTGAATTCTGTGAACTAACTCTCAACTATTTAGAGTGAAAAATTAGTTACGTTAGTTTCTTTTTCCTGATAGTCACTTACATCCCATGGAACCAGAGAATGAAACAAGAATTTTAGAATTTTTTCTTCTGGGACTTACAAAGGAGCCAGAATTAAAGCCAATCATATTTGGGCTTTTCTTCACTATGTACTTGATCACCATGACTGGAAACCTGCTCATCATTCTACTCAGCATCTCAGATTCTCACCTGCACACCCCCATGTACTTCTTCCTCTCCAACCTGTCCTTCATAGACATCTGCCTCACCTCCACCACCATCCCAAAGATGCTGATGAGCATCCAGACACGGAGCAATGTCATCACCTATGCAGGCTGCATCACCCAGATGTTCTTTTTTTTGTTCTTTGTGACATTAGATGACTTTCTCCTAACGGTGATGGCCTATGACAGGTATGTGGCTATATGTCATCCTCTACACTACACAGTCATCATGAACCCCCAGCTGTGTGTGCGTCTGGTTCTGCTGTCCTGGATCATAAGTGTCCTGACTTCATTATTACATAGCTTAATGGCGTTGCGTCTCTCTTTTTGTATGCCATTGGAAATCCCCCACTTTTTTTGTGAACTTAATCAGGTGGTCCACATTGCCTGTTCTGACACCTTTCTTAATGACATGGTCATCTATTTTACTTCTGTAGTGCTGGCTGGTGGTCCACTTACTGGAATCCTTTACTCTTACTCTAAGATAGTTTCCTCCATTCACACAATCTCATCAGCTCACAGAAAATATAAAGCATTTTCTACTTGTGCTTCTCATCTCTTGGTTGTCTCTTTATTTTATTGTACAACGATAAGTGTGTACCTTATTTCTGCTACTACACACAGCTCACACTCAAGTGCAACAGCCTCAGTGATGTACACTGTGGTCACCCCCATGCTGAACCCCTTCATCTACAGTCTGAGGAACAAAGATGTAAAGAGGGCCCTGAGAAGTTTCCTGTGGAAGAAAACTATCAAAGGATCAACCTTCCTGATACTGAAGAAATGTGCTTGTTAGGTTCAAAACATCAGGAAATAATGGTGAAAATTTGTGCAGGTTCTGGAAAAAGATCTTTTCCATTCAGTTATCTCCTGTAACTTTGATGACTTTGGTTTCAACCTCTCTGTGCAATATAAATACCTCATTTTTCTACTCTGATATCAAGACAGTTTCTTCCTCTGTCCATTTCTGTACTTTTCACAAGTTTACCACAACGATTGATCATAAATATTTGAAAATCCTCATTGATTTCATGGAGCAATATGGATTTATTAAAAATAGTTTAATACACTTCCTTTTCTTCTATTAAGAAATCATATTCTGTACTTTCCTTGTTTTAACCAAATAACATCACTTGGTGGCTAAGGTCATTAATATAATCCAAGGAACACAGTTTGCATAGTGGTTAAGGAGCTGGACATGGCTGACTGTAGTTTTATTTCCAGACTCGGCAGCTTGAAAATCACTCCAGGCACATATGTGTGCATGTGCAGAATCCCAGGAGGAGTATGGAGAAGGGATTTGCTGCATGAACTTCCACACTGGGGGTGGGGGGGAGATTGTTTCTCACTTTTTTTCTCACTGCCTCTCTCTCTCTGTATCTCTCAGGTGAGCACATGACAAAAACCTTCAAAAATATAATTCAATAGTAGAAGAAATCTGAGACCACAAATTAAAAATTTTCTGTCTGTCATTTGATGACATATAACCACTTGTACTGTTCTTGATGAAAATGCAGAGTTTAGGACCATCAGATAGAATAATGGCTACATCACTGGACTCTCACGTACTTGACCATGGTTAGCGTCCTGGACCTAGTGAATTAAAACTCATGTCAGGCATGTGTACGTGTTGCCGAAAATCCCAAGAGGAGAATGGAGGAGAAGGGATTGCAGTGTAGCCATTATCCCTGGGGGGAGGGGGTAATTTATCACTTCCTGTATCTCTGTCTCTCTGGAAGCACATGCACCATATAGCAAAAAATCTCAAAAAAGAGAAGAAAAGAAAATGTAGAGTTTAGCACAATGGTTTATAACTTGTCATTAGGTTTTATTCTCAACTTTATCACTCTGTTCCTTACCTAGACTCCTATCAGCAGTGACTGCATAGTCACTAGAAAAGAGTCATTATGTTCTTCATGTCTCCAAGTGGAATGTGCTTGAAAAGACACCTTTCAATAAATGGTTTGTCTTTTTATGGCCTTTAAGTCAGAGATGAATTTAAATATGTTGCACCAAATTCTAAGCTATGAATTCTATTATTATGCACGGGGTTTTTTTTGTTTCATTCTCTAAATCTACTTAGTAATGTGTGAAAGATTAGTGTTCAAGTATAAAGGGGATCATTCATTTTAGTGAAGTATAGTTTGTTTTAATTTATGTTTTCTTATTGAAACAAACAAAACAAAAACAGAGACCCTGGCATTTTGATAGAAAATGGACAAATATGGGAACCAGCAGTTGGTGTAATGGCTATGTCGCTGGACTCCCATGTAGTCGATGTGGTTTGAGTCCCGGACCCACTGGCTTAATCTCACACCACGTGCGTTTGCGTGTGTGCCCAAGATCCTAAGAGGAGAATGGAAGAGAAGGGATTGCATTGTGGCCATCCCGCCTAGGAAGTGGTTTCTTGCTTTCTGTCTCTCTGTCTCTCACTTTCTGGTGAGTGCACATGACCTATAGCAAAAACCTCTCCTAAATAAATAAATAAATAAATAAATAAATAAAGTGGACAAATATAGAATATTTACTGCTAAATGAAGCAATTCAAACTATGAAAGAGAAGCACTGTATGTCTTCCACTTAATATATACTGAATGTCTTCCCATATCCACCTTTTCTAAACTTTGTCACAATCATCAACGGAGCACTGAATGACTATTGTCAATATCATCTCTATTTTATCTCTTTATGCACAGATATCTTTTTAATCTTCGTGATCACATACTTGTGAAGGATGAATTTATGTGCAGCCATGTAATTTCGGGTCACAACTATTTCTGCACAAACATGTTTATCTTTCTAAACTCTCCAGGTTTCTTTAAACGAATTTTGTACTAGTCACTTTCTGATACAATATTCTCAAACAACTGAATAACATGATAATCATGAATACAGTCTTCAAAGATCAGGAAAAAAGTCTAAAATTACAAACCAGAAGTTATTATAATTGTCCTTCATTCTGTTCACTTTTGTTATTGCATTAGTTAGTTACTGCTGTATTATGAGCCATACTTTAAAATAATGGTTTACTGTAATACTTCTGTTAACTAATGTGATTACATGAAGGGCATCATTTCTGAGCTTCTCTGGTCTCCTCGTGAGTCTGTAATCATTCATTAGTCAAACGAGGAGGTGCTGCTGATGTTGGCTGAAGTTTCCCATCTACTGAGGACTTGGCTGGGTGTTGGCTGATCAAGGGTGGCCTTAACTGAGACAACTAGCCCCTTCCACATTTCCTCTCCTGCTGCAGCTGAATAGCCTGGATTTGTTCACATGGTTTGAGGTAAGGTTTCACAGATTCACAGAAATGGACCACTGTGAACCATCGTAAATATGAACATATTCTAAAGGTCAAAGCAAATTAAAACTTCCATATCTGGATCAAGCCTTAAAGGATGTTCTCATTTACCTTGCCCTTGGGTGCTGGCTACTGTTAGAAAAGAATGAAAATTATACTTCTATGGATATCCTATACCAAGGGTTTGAGCCCCCTCAGAGGTATTTATTATTTTTTATATTGTAAAAAGTTTATTTCCATTAATTAACTCCTTTTTTCCCCATCATCATAAGAGATACTGATATTTGTTTGTTCTTTGTGATCAGAGAAAAGACATTTTGGATGGATAATCTGTTTCTATTCTTCTTCTTCTTCTTCTTCTTCTTCTTTTTTTTTTTTTTTTTGAGAGGTTTTTTGCTATAGGTT